CTCGGTCAGCGGCCCTCCGCGCTTTGTCAGTGGCTCGAGCCAAGCTTTGAACCCAAACCGCTACCCAAGGAGACGCATGTGTCTTGCTCGGGAGGCAGCTGCCTAGTCGACACGACGAGATGGCTAGGTATTCTAAGATTCTAGGGGGCTCCTTGGGTCCCGGGGAATTTCTAGAAAACTTGATGGGGAACAGCGCCCGCTTACCGCGTGGGTTACAAATAAGGATGATGATGAGGATGAGGCGGATGAGGAAGAGAAGGGTGAGACATGGCATGAAGATCGTAACCATAAGGAATCAAATGAACAAGAGTGAACACGCAATTCACGCGGGGCTGCAATGAGCGGGACATAACAGCGGTTGCCTCTGAAACGAGGCGCGCCGTTGTAAACTAACCTGTCCTGACGCAGACGGATGACTTCCGTCTAGGTGCTGCCCAGAACTTGTCGGACGATGAGCCGTTGAGTTGGGCTTTGCGGGGGATCCCTCTCCGCTCTCCAGGGTTATGCCCAAGACCTGGTTTAGCACCGCTGGCCAACAATCATTTTTCCTTATGTGCAGGGCAAGCGAAACTCGAGCAACGGGGCGGGATGATAGTTAGCATGTGGCCAGCGGAAACAAAATATCGCCACATGATGCTACCCAGTGTGTGTCCCCAGCGAGTTCATGTTGCCACGGAGTGCTGCCTTGTCAATTGAGGTGACACATCGGGTAAGCTGTGTATGAAAACGATGAGTTGGAAGGAGGAAGAAGGGAAGGGGAAAAGACGCCACATTGGCGTACATTTTCGCCGCCGTTGCCACAGCGAAACAAGTACTGCCGCAAGGCGCCATCCAATGGTTCAACGAGTTAATCTTGCCACGGAATGCTACCTTTTGCTTGAGCTGGCACCTCGGGCAAGCTGTGGTGGAAGCGAGGCGGTGGAGGGATGGAACGGGCGGAAACGCCATATGAAGGAGGGAAGGGGAGGAAACGCCATATTGCTGCACATGTTCGCCGTCGGCCGCGCTTTCGAGGGATATGGGCGAACCGACCCGCACACGAAGACTTCGAGACGACATGTCCTAATCATACCGATCGGTTATGGCCCACACAACTTTTTAGGCCAGGGCCAATGAGGAGATGGTGGGATGTCAGTGGATGCAATCATTGGCCGGGCGGCCGTCCATCCGCGCGCGAATCGGGGTACGCATGCCGCGAACCGCACCTTCTCTGGCTCGCCTCGCCGGAGCGCGGCAGCAGCCGCTGCCCGCTGCAGAGCGAGAGGGGACGCGTGCCGCGCGTACGCGCGCGTGGCAGCGTGCACGCCGCGCCCTGCACACGGACCAAAGAGGCGCCTGCGGTGCAAGGCACGCGCGGCAGCCTCCAGGCCATGGGGGCCCTGCTCCTCGCCATCGCTCGGACGTGCATCCCCCGTGCATGTTTCGGCCTCGTGCGTGTCTCTCAGGATCAACTTGAATGCTCCTTTTTGGTCCTCGCCGAGAAAAAATGCACACGTCCGAGGGATGCCGAGCCATCCAGTGTTTGCACATGGTCATGGGAACGCATATGCTCCGTTCGCGGACACGGTGGCTGTCTACATGTGCGCGACCTGAGGCGTGGCTCAGAGCAAGTGCCATCATATCACTGGTAACAACCACCAGCTCATTGAGAATGTCTACACTCGCCTTGACAGCGCCAGAATGAAGTACGTCACGAAAAAGGAGAAGCGGATCACATTCGGCGCGACAGAAAAGTGGGCGGACGTGGAAGCCGACGAGGTGGACCTAGGCAAGATGGACGGCGCGGAGAAGGACGACCAGGCTAAGCCAGTGAGTTGGGAGCAGTGGAGAGGATTAATCAAACGCGGCAGGCCGATACTTTGATTCTAAATCGTCTTGATCCATGCAGGACGCGGCGGCGCGCTCCTGGGCCTGGCCCGATCCGCAAACGCGACTGGAAGCCCATTGCCAAACGGCACCTAGAGAACCGAGAGGTCGCGCTGCGCACAGATGGGGCGCGGGCATATAAGCTTAAGATCCCGAGTGTTCTTCACGACAACGTTGTCCATATGAAGAAGAAGGTGATTTTGCGTGGGAGGACACTTTGGCTCAAACCAAAGTTTTCCGAACTAGTTGTCCACAAATTGCCCACTGGTGAGGAGTTGTACACCAAGTCAGGGACGCAGATCATCGATCGCTTCTGGGCGCACCTGCGGAAGCATTTGCAGTCGCGCAAGCGCAGGGTGGGCACCCTGGCCGCGAGGCGCCGCATTCGTTCCGCCCAGTGGGCTTACTGGAACAAAGGTGCGGATTTGTGGACTCGCACTGGTGAAATGCCACGGGAGCTCTATTGATCCGCGGGCGTCTCGGGCGTCATTTGTCCAGCCAGCAGGCACGCCTTCAGCTAGCTGTCGCATATGGCCCATATGATGCTTTCCTTGACAGTTCCGCGCCAGCAAGGCACTGGCAGATGAATGCGGCGCTGCGCCAGCTGAGATAGCCAATCTGTTGTGCTCGGAAGCCATACTGCATATGTTGTTCTTTCCCCTATGATGAAGTCATATGGTGGGCGATGTATGATCTCTGATCTACTTCACCGAATCACGGTGTGTCTTAGATTAAAAGCACGCTCAAGGTAGATCATAGGGGGGGTGCGAGCATATATATATATATATATATATATATATAGAGAGAGAGAGAGAGAGAGAGAGAGAGAGAGAGAGAGAGAGAAAAACAAAAAAAAAAAAAAAAACGAGAGAGAGAGAGAGAGAGAGTCAGGTCGGGCGTGTCCCCCTACAGGCGGATTCTGGAGGAAAACAAAACATACCCCAAACATGCTCAAACGTAGTCAAACGCACTTGAAAACTCCTCCCCAGACTACTTTTTCACTGTTTTTGCGTGTTCCCCCTTTAGAGGGGCACGCCCGACTTAAACTTAGAGGCCAGAGAAAACCACCAGACCCCCCCAGGAAGCCCCCAAGAGGCCTCCACGAGGCCCCCAGAACGCCTCCCAAATGCCCTCAAGAGTTCTCCAAGAGGCCCCGGAGAGGCATCCCGAGAGGCCCTCAGATTCATCCAGGAGGCTCCTGACCAACCGTCCAGGCACGGTGTCGGGGTGGGCAGAGACCACTAGCCACGATCGTCGCAAACACGCACTCCTTGTGGGGGTCGGCGGACTGGCGTAAGCCACTTGAAGAAGCACCCCGAACAAGGCGAAGCCGTCCAGTGAACGCAGCAAGAAGGGAGAACCGAGACCGAGCAGGGCAGGGCTGTACAGCCAACGCCCAGGGCCGTTCAGTCAACGCCAATTCTGGGGGTCGGGGTGGGTCTTCCCCCTTGATGGTATGGGTCGGGCGCTGGGCAGCGATGAGCTGCCAACCGAGATTTGGCCAGCACCTCGAGGGGCGCCCGAGGCGCAGGCGCGAGAGGGCGCTGGTGGGAGGGCAGAGAGCAGGGCCAGCACGGCCGCGGCGCCCCCGCAGAGGGCAATACACAGCCGCCGCTCGGAGTCGCCAGCGGATCTGTTCGGCCGCGGGGGGGGGGGGCGCGGGGATGTGTCCCACGACGGCGCAAGACAGCTTGGCGCGACAAGGTCAAAAAAGCTTTTTGGGGCGCCAGCTCCGGGCGTGCTGGTGGACAGAGGTCGAGCCTTGCGTCGTCAGATCTTTGCTGTGCGGGGGGGCGAGGCCGCGCCCGCTACGTTAGGCCAGCACCTTGCAGCCCAAGGGATAAGTCCTTAATTGGCCAGTGGAAGCGCTATTTGGGGAAGTGGGGAATAAGAACCTGCATAACGCAGCATTTTTGTAAACGCAGCACCACATTGACGAAGGCCCCCCCAGAGTCGTTCAGAGATAACACCTGTGGCCCGATGCACATCGAAACCACCATGGGCAGAAGTGCTTTGAAATGGCCACTCGCAAGAAACAACGCCCATCCCTGCACACATGGTGCAAGGGTGCACGGGGTGGGGATGGTAGGCAAGTCTACCTGCGAAGAGGCCCCCTCGCGAGGCGACCCCATTTGAAGAAGAAGAGGGCTGCGAGCCCAAGCACCCACGGCTGCACCGCGCCCAGGAGCATGCATGTGCACTGTCTGCGTGGCCTGGTTTGGCTGATGCGTGCGCGCGTGTCTCTGTGCGGACGCAGCCGCAAGAAATCCTAATTGGCAAGACGCGCAGTCCTGAAAATCCGCTCGCGAGGTTCGATTTGGGGGGGCGGGGGCCCACGGCACCGTGGACGAAGCAGCTTCTTGACGTTTACGGGGATGGGACCGAGTAGCGCGCGCAGCGGAGAAACCCAAGGCACCCTGACGAAGAGTATCTGGTTTCCTGATGCGCGCCCCCACTGTATAGCGTGCAGTGCACAATTGATCTGCCCCGCGCTACTTCGGAACATCGAGCTCAAGGGGGGACGTCGAGCTTAAATCAGCGATTCATCGCTGACAGATCGGCGATGGGCCCCCGATAGCGACTCCGCATGGGCCTGGGCAGGGTGGGCTATCGGGCCCTCTCGGCGATCAATGGGTGATTGGAAGCCGATGTATCGCTCCCTGAGACTATCCCCCTCTATAGTTGCCCCCTGCATTTCGGGCCACAACTCGGCTCCGGCGGCCATTCGGGGCGTTCTGGGCACCCTCAGACCGCTTTCGGCGAGGCGCAGATGCTGGAAGGCATCCCGAAGCTGAAAAGGCGACGAGAACCGACGAAAACGCCCAAAGGCCTAGAACCTCGAAACTTCGTTCCGCCCGTTATAGCGGATCAAGAAGCGGTATAAACACAAACTTTCGGAAGTCCGCGCGCCTTTCGTGGATTTGCGCCAGACACCCCTCCCTCGAGCGCGGAGTCCGCCGGGGGCGGCGCTGGAGGCGCCGCCCGAGGGGCCCAATGCAGATCCAAGAACTCCGCGCAGAACTCCGGACGTTTGTGTTAATGCAGCTCGTTTTCGACCTGAGCCTATCCCCCACCTAACCCAGTGCTGACGTGGTGCCCGTGGCGAGGCCGCGGAGGCGAGGCCGCACCCGCGCCTGCCGCCCTCCGGCGCGGTGGCGTTCCGGCCGTCGAGGCCCGCCAGGGGGGGCTGCCTCCCCCGGGCCCGCTGCTGTGGGGCCGGACCACGGCAGGGGGCTCCTCGCTGTCGCATTCGCAGGCTGCCTCTTCGTGCACGTGTGTATAGCAGGGCTTACCCTAAACGATGTTTTGTGTCTTGTTTTTCGTTTTGCTCTACCTGTTTTCCTGTACCTCCCTCCCAAAACGATGAAGGTTTTGGAAGGAGTTCGACATGCGCGCGCGGCCGACGCGCGCGAGTGGCCTGCGTGGCAGTATTTGACAAGAACCGTGCCCCCCCAGCACGCGCGTAAGGGCGTTCGAATTAGTTCAACGTGCGGCGCGAGAGGCCCGCTTGGCAGAATTCGATGGCAACGTTGGAAGCCGGATGATTTTTAAGAATTCACCAGCGCGCGCAGGCTTTTTTGAACACTGATGTTGCAAACCCATGCGTTTTATGTGTTCGGGACACTCGTTTTTGAACTCCTTCCGACACCAAAGCTTTTTTTGCGCGCGTGCACTTCGTCCCACTTGTTGCGAATGACTCTTGCGACAGCACGCGCGCAAGGGCGTTCGAGCGATTTCGACATGCGAGCGCGAGAGGCCCGTTTGGTAGCATGTTGCGAACATGTTCAAAAACTTATGGTTTCCAGGAGAACTCGTGATTGCGCGTGCGCAAGCTTTTCTTGAACACCCTTGTTGCGAAACCATGTGTTCTTATTTGTTTCCGGGACAATTGATTTCAAAATCCTTATGCAACCTAAGGTTTTTGAAGGATTTCGGCACGCACGCGCAACAATGCGCGCGTGCGCATTTCGTACAGTTTTTTCTTGCAAAGGGTTTTTGACAACTGACGATTTTTGAGAATCGAATGTGCGCGCATAATAGTTTCTGCACAATGAATGTGGAAGGAGGGCAAAATCCGGCCTGGCTGGGATGGTATGAATTCATACCTAAGATGGGCGACGGGGCAAGATCGTATGTAAATTGCACATCCCCAAAGGGGTAGTGATAAGTCCGGCCTCGTGAGGGCGGTGGATCCGAATTCTTCCTTAGAAAGGAGAAGATATGCGGTGCAAAGCGACGGGGCGGCGACGGCGACGACATGGCCGCCAGACCGACCCGCAGGCTCAGACGACGGGCGGCAACGAGGCGGAGACGGCGACGACATAGCCGCCAGATCAACCCGCAGGTCCAGACGACGGGCGGCGACGGGGCGACGACGGCGACGACATAGCCGCCAGACCGACCCGCAGGCGAAGACGACGGGTGGCGACGGGCGGCGACGTGGCGGCGACGGCGACGACATAGCCGCCAGACCAAACCCCATGCCCAATGCCTAGGAAAAGGAATAAGAACACCTTAGCGCAACCATTGTGTGGGGAAAAAAGAACCTGACGGCGGGGCAGAAACCGACTCCGCCGCAGGCGGTCTCCACGGTGTACGATTATACGTGAGAATCGGGGTCCTACGTCCGCAGGAGCGGTCAAAACTTTAGGAACGTCATGCTACCCCCGGCCTTACGCAGGCAACCTGCGCGCCAATGTCCGCGCAGTCGACTCCATTTGTCCATATCGCTCACATTGGGTCGTTGGGAGGCCTCGGGATCCCTCTTGAGCGGGCTCCCCCCCCAGCTCTCCAGCATGGTGGGCGGCACAATAATGCATTAAGATCTTGGCCGCCATCGTGCTCGGTGCGAACGATCACGTCGACGCAATCGAGACTTACCATCAACTCCAGAAAACTTCGAACGGGCCACCGAAACATGATTACCATGAACTTCCGAGCAACACATTACGTGCTACCTGGCTCGCATTGTCTGGACGAGTCGTCGGCCTCCGTTATTGGTGGTGCACGGCCACTCGAAAGAGATTTTTTTGTGTAAGAACCCCTCCGCCAAATAGGAAAGCACGGAACACTCGGATGCAATCAACAATTCGCCGTGCAGATTTTCGGAGTGTGCTAAGCGGCAATGGGAAATCACGGGTGCGCGTAAGACCAGGAATCGACGCTACGGAATAGGCTGTAAAAACGAAGCGCACGACGGACAAGGTGTCCCCACTTTTGCTCCCGCGTGCACCCCACACTCAAAGCTCCCAAGCATTACTGCCCCTCTACTCAGCCCCTTGCCTCGACCATGCGCTCTAGATGTCCAACCCCCTTCTAACCTTACTGCAAGACACCTCCCCTGATCCTGGTGAGGTCGCTGCTGTTCAACTCAACTTCTGTCGAGTTCGCTGAGAGACTCTGGCCCATCTGAGATGCAGCAAAAGACGGCAACGCGAGCGAATCAAAAGCACCATGAACGCTGCGCGGCCGTTCAATTTTTCCGCACGAGACGTGACAAAGTACTCTCATCTTAGCTGCACGCGAAGATCAAAATCACCATAATCGAGCAGTGATCCTGGCGCTGTCAAACTTAATCAATCCCCCCCTCTGGTACGAAGTACTAATGGAAATGAACAACAAACAACAGGCAAACAACAACCTGCAATCAAGGCGGAATCCAACATCAGCCCACGGCAAGCTCACGGCGTGCTGAATGTAAGGTAGAGGCAAGCGACAGACAATTAATAAGCACACCGAACGCAAGCGGCAAGCAAAACACATGCAAAGAAAATGCACACTGAAAGCAATATACTGTCAATTAAATTCAAACGCACATACTTGTACAAGTCTCTTTGAAGGCAAGCTGAGCTCACGCTAACAGCAATCATCGAGCGATCCACACGCAAGCTAAACGCAACGTTTAACCACACCATGAAGCAAACCATAAGCACACTGTCAACGATCTTCAATTACAGCCTAGCGACACACTACACGGCGAACAACTAGAAACACATAGTAAACGCAAGCCAACCCAAAAAACAATGCATTCGAACCAAACTCAGCCTCACACTTACGCACGCCTGAAGGAAATTCACACGCAAGCTCAACCAAAGTAAGATGCAGCCCCAAATGCGAGAACACTCCAAACACTCAAACAATAAAGCCCAACACAAGCGACAAGGTGCCTCGATGCACGGCGGGGGGCGGCGGGGGCATCCTCGGGGAAGCGCGACGAGCCCAATCGAGACGTGCCTCAAGGCTGCCTCGAGACAACCCAAGAGAACCACAAGACGATCCCGCAAAGCTGAAGATGGCCCGACAAGGCTCCGCGACGACCCAAGAAGCACCCGCTCAGATCCGACAGCTGCCCCAAGAGGTCCGTCTCCAGGAACGAGGGCTGCAACACCCATGTACAGTGGGTGAACGGCTCGCTGTGAATCGGCAAGGTCGCAGGCACGAGTGCCACCACACACGACTACATGTAGATACTCGCACGCTTGTGAACATCGCTTGGCTTTCTCGTCGAGTACGTCTGCCGCGCTCGCTCGCATGGTCTTTTCCTGAACGGCTGTCAGACGTGAGCCCCAACACGAGTCTTGAAAGTTGCAGCAGGAACGACATGCTGAGTGTGGCTGTGCCACTTCCCATCCTCTATCCTGACCCTCGTTCTCCAACTCTGTCTCCGTTGCTCCTGCTCTCCTATCGCTTATGCCTCTGCTCCTCCTCCTTGCCGACGGCCTGCAGCAAGGTCACCTGCAGCAGGGAGGTAGTGAAGAAGAAATGGCTCTGTGTCTGTGGGCGGGATACACGTAGAGACAAATCGCTTCGGAGGGAGGGAGGGAGGGAGGGAGGGAGGGGGACATCAGGAGGATGAAGAGGAGGAGACGCAGGAGGCTCTCTAAAGATGACGGAGTCACTTCGTTCGCCCATGTCGGGGTAGCTGAAGGGAGGCTTTCTCTGCTTTCGGGGATTCTCTCGGCGGGCGTAACAGGTCTCCACAACGAGTTCGTCATGTTTTCGACGCGTTCTCTCACTACATTTGTCCTCCATGGTCTCCAGAGGTACTCGGGAATTTCCTGAAGATATATCAGTTGTCGTGTCGCAGCTACTGGGGGCCAGCCACGTCACATGGCGTGCTCCTGGACCCTCGAACCCAAGCATGCTGACGTTTCACCTTTACTTCCGCCGCCTTCCGCCGAACTCCCGCCAGCGGACTCTCCGTCGTTTTGCTTCCCCGCCAGCCTCCGCCAGCCTTCCGCCGAATGCGAGGCGAACCGAAGGCGAAACTCTTTCTGGAACTCCGCACTTAGAATCTAGACCCGTCCAAAATACATCCGACGTCGTGATCTTTCTACAGCATGGAGGTCTGGAGTCCTTTTCCAAAGGACCAATTGTTCATCCCGGGTTCTTTTTGTTTAGGCCCTTGGACCTGGTTAAAGGCCCCAGACACGGAAAGTCGCCAAAAGCTGTCCGTCGCGTTGCGTTCGCGACGCGAAGATGTCAGGGTAGATGTCAGATCCGCGCTGCTCTGCGCCTGGTCGCCGTCTCACGGTGCACTGGGCAGTGCCGCCCCGCAGGGGGCCACCGACGACGGCTCCCCACGGCGGCATTCCTGCTCCCGCGAAAAAACAGCACACGTCCGAGCGATGCCAAGGTGTTGAAAAAGTCAGAGAGCGCATCCACTTCGCCGTTCTCAGCCCCCCGGGGCCCCTCACTGGGCCCCCTGGAGCGTCAGCAGAAACGACTCGGGCCCCCTGGCCTTGTCCCGAATCGTCGAGGTCCTGGGAGCCCTAAAGAGTACCTAGTATGTACGTTTTCACTCGCCGACCTCCTTCTCCTCGACCCGCCTCTTCACCTTTGCTGCTACAGGGTGCTTTGCTTGGGGAATTGCGGGTGGTATCGCCCCAGGCAAAGAGCCCCCCTTCCCCGAATGTTCAAAGCATTGGTCTGCAGATCCACGTGTGCGAGAATCGATTGTCCTCTGGGTCCAAGGCGTTACTTGACCCAATGGTTCACTCCAACACACGAACTGGATCCACGAGGCTCCCACGCTCAAGCAAAATATCCAGACGGAAGATCCGCCACCGTGCCTCTGGACACGGAGTGGGCGTGTCCTCAGGTCCTTTGCCTAATCCTCAACTCCAAAATTACACATTGCCGCATCCTGATATTTGGCGGAGGCGTCGCGCCAACATGCCTTGCAAACAAACGTTTCATGTTGACATCTTTCTATTTGGCGGACGCGCTGAGCGTTTTACTCCCGAGAGCAAAAACAAGACACTGGCCTTTTTTGTGTTTGCATTGGCGTGGCCGGAACTTGCCAGCAACGAAAACGCATAATTTGGATTGCCCGTGCGCCCGCACCACTGCGCACGCTCGTTTCTTGTGTTAGCGATGTTATGCGGGGCCCTGTTTTTTTGGCAGGCACACGTGTATAAACCTGCTGGAGGTCAAGGAAATCCCCTGGTTGATGCTCTACGGCTGGTGCCTTTTAGTGGGCACCCTATGGCGGGTGCCCTAACATGTCCTTCGGTTGGTGCCTCATGGTAGAAACTGCGCTGGTGCTGCCGTCTAGTACTAGCAGTAGTAGCAGCAGTAGTAGTAGTAGTAGTAGTAGTAGTAGTAGTAGTAGTAGTAGTAGTAGTAGTAGTAGTAGTAGTAGTAGTAGTAGTAGTAGTAGTAGTAGTAGTAGTAGTAGTAGTAGTAGTAGTAGTAGTAGTAGTAGTAGTAGTAGTAGTAGTAGTAGTAGTAGTAGTAGTAGTAGTAGTAGTAGTAGTAGTAGTAGTAGTAGTAGTAGTAGTAATAGAAGTAGTAGTAGTAGTAGTAGTAGTAGTAGTAGTAGTAGTAGTAGTAGTAGTAGTAGTAGTAGTAGTAGTAGTAGTAGTAGTAGTAGTAGTAGTAGTAGTAGTAGTAGTAGTAGTAGTAGTAGTAGTAGTAGGTAGTAGTAGTAGTAGTAGTAGTAGTAGTAGTAGTAGTAGTAGTAGTAGTAGTAAGCAGTATAGTAGTGTAGTAGTAGTAGTAGTAATAGAGTCGTAGTAGTAGTCAGTAGTAGTATAGTAGTAGTAGTAGTAGTAGTAGTAGTAGTAGTAGTAGTAGTAGTAAGTAGTAGTAGTAGTAGTAGTAGTAGCATTAGTAGTAGTAGTAGTAGTAGTAGTAGTAGTAAGTAGTAGTAGTAGTAGTAGTAGTACTAGTAGTAGTAGTAGTCGTAGTAGTAGTAGTCAGTAGTACTAGTAGTAGTAAGTAGTAGTAGTAGTAGTAGTAGTAGTAGTAGTAGTAGTAGTAGTAGTAGTAGTAGTAGTAGTAGTAGTAGTAGTACTAGTCGCTGGTCACAGCTGCTCTCATGCGCCCATGGGGCAGCGGGAAAGACGGGTCAGCGCTGGTACTGCCACTGCGGGGCGCGCTACTCGACCTCCTACGGAGTCTGCATCGAGTTCATAGAGGGAGAGGCGAACCCGCCACGCGCGTACTACATGCACGCGGAGCATCCCGAGGAGGACACCCGCGACCTGAAGGCCCTGCTGCGCTACGACAAGCTCAAAAAGGAGGGGATCACAGTGCTCAACGCGGTGGACCTTCTGCAGCACCTGCCCAAGGTTGAGCCGATGGCGGTTGGCACTGTCTTCAAGCGCTATGCCCCGCACCAGGCACAATGGGAGGGCCACTATGTGCTGATGGAGGGGCTCACCTGGGAGAGCTTGCCCACGTTCGAGTGGACCGACCTCTACGCGCAGGTCGCCTGGGGACTGAGCGACCCTGAATGGGCGGGGTACAGCAAGAAGACGCGGAACAAAGCTAAGAGGGAGCGCCTGGAGATGGCGCACAAGGAATTGGCGCACTACGAGTGCCGCCACAACCTGAAGGAGGGCAGCCTCTCGGGCTGCGAGGGCGGCACAGGGGTCGCCCCGCGTGCCACCCCCGTTCGCAACGCCAGCGCCCCACCAACGAGCGGGGCCCGCGGCAGCGAGGACCCGCCACCACCGCCAGCGGGAGTCCCGCCAGAGGCAGTGGCCATCATGGTCCCCCCGCCGCCGCCGCCGACGGCGCCCCCTGATGTGCCGCCGCCGCCGACGCACCCGCCACCGCAGACGGACGTGCTCCCGCAGCAGGTCCCAAGCGCTGCAGCCCTGAACGTGGCCCTTGGTGAAGACCTTGAGCGCCAGATCGTTGGGTCCTCAGGGCAGGCGGGGGGCAGTGGCAACCTCGGCGGGGAGGCGCGGGCGCTGCCGTCGCAGGTCTTTGCTGCCATCGCGCAGGGAACAGGCCAGCAGGCCTGAGGGATAATGCCCAGCAGGTTCCAGGGCCTTGGCAGGCCGCGTGAGTCCATGCCAAATTGTCTACTTGCTGCTTTCTGTAGGGCGGCGGGCCCATAGCGGCGCCCCCCCTCGCGTGGCGGCACCTGTAGCCTTTGCCTAGGCTGGGCGCAAGACTACCTGTGCACCTGGCCACCTTGGCTCGCCAACTGGCTTGCCATCTCGGCCTCCTCACGTTCACTTGCGCTCGTTGGCCTCGCTGGCGGTACTGGGACAGCC